CTTCGTTGTTTGTTTAAGCATTTGAAGTTTTAGACTCCCCTAATATATCTTTTTTAATTTGAAAGATTATTCGCGATTCCTTTAAAAAAAAATATGGAACCGTCTGAGAGCGGTGCTGTTTTATTTTTGAAAAATTTTTGAAAATATTTTAGAGTTTTTTTCATTTCTAAATCCATCTTCGAAGTCACTTGGTTTTAATTTGAAAATATCGGGGACGTTGTTTTTTTAAGTATTTGAAGTCAGACTACCCTAATATCTCTTTTTTAATTTAAAAAACCACTTGGCTTTTATTTTTTAAAGAATTTTGAAAATTTCGGGGATTTTGTTGATTTTTTATGTATTTGAACTCTTACGTTCCCCTAATATCTCTTTTTTGAATTGAAAGATCAGTCGCGATTTCTTTACAAAAACTATGGAATCGTCTGTAACAGCAATACCGGTTTATTTTTGAAAACAATTTTGAAAAGGTATTGAGGGTCCATAGTAATTTTTTTAAAGAACTTTCAATGTCTCTTTTTTTAAAAAGCTTCAGAATCTTTAGTGGATTCCTAGTGTTTTTTTTTTTCAATTGTGAAGCCATCTTTGAAGCCACTTGGGTTTTATATTTGGAAAAATTTTGAAAATTTAGAGGACTTCGTTGTTTTTTCAAGTATTTGAAGTTTTAGACTTCCCTAATATATCTTTTTTAATTTGAAAGATTATTCGCGATTCCTTTAAAAAAAATATGGAACCGTCTGAGAGCAGTGCCAATTTACTTTTGAAAAAATTTTGAAAATATTTTAGGGACGTTTGAGAGTCCGTAGTGATTTTTTTGTGGACAAGAACCTTCCAGGTGTTTTGCGTTTGATTTTTTTTTTTTTAATTTTAAAATATCTAGTGGGTCCGCAGTTTTTTTTTTTTTGTTCATTTCCAAACCCATCTTCGAAGCCACTTGGAAAAATTTTTAAAATTTCGGGGACGTTATTTTTAAAACCCTTTGAAGTCATAAACTACCCTAATATCTCTTTTTTTAATTTAAAAAATTATTCGCGATTCCTTAAAAAAATATGGAACATTTTGACAAATTTTTAGAAATATTTTGAAGAAGTTTTGAGGATCCGCAGTGAACTTTTTGGAAAAGAACGTTCGATGTCTCTTGAGTTCGATTTTTTTTTTAATTTCAAAATATCTAGTAGGTCCCTAGTTTTTTTTTTCACTAAATCCACCTTTGAAGCGACTTGGCCTTTAATTTTGAAAGAATTTTGAAAATTTCGGGGATTTTGCTGCTTGTTTAAGTATTTGAACTCTTCGATTCCCGTAATATCTCTTTTTTAAATTGAAAGATTATTCGTGATTTCTTTACAAAAACTATGGAATCATCTGTGACAGCAACGCCGGTTTATTTTTGAAAAAATTTTTGAGAAAGTATTGAGGGTCCAAAATATTTTTTTCTTTTTTTTTAAAGAACTTTCAATGTATCTTTTTTTTAAAAAGCTCCAAAATCTTTAGTGGATTCCTAGTGTTTTTTTTTTTTTTTTCAATTATGAAGCCATCTTTGAAGCCACTTGGGTTTTATATTTGGAAAAATTTTGAAAATTTCGGAGACTTCGTTGTTTTTTAAGTATTTGAAATTTTAGATTCCCCTAATATATCTTTTTTAATTTGAAAGCTTATTCGCGATTCCTTTAAAAAAATATGGAACCGTCTGAGAGCAGTGCCGTTTTACTTTTGAAAATTTTTTGAAAATATTTTAAGGAAGTTTGAGAGTCCGTAGTGATTTTTTTGTGGACAAGAACCTTCCAGGTGTTTTGCGTTTGATTTGTTTAAACATTTTAAAATATTTAGTGGGTCCGCAGTTTTTTTTTTTTTTGTTCATTTCCAAACCCATCTTCGAAGCCACTTGGAAAAATTTTTAAAATTTCGGGGACGTTATTTTTAAAACCCTTTGAAGTCATAAACTACCCTAATATCTCTTTTTTTAATTTAAAAATTTATTCGCGATTCCTTAAAAAAATATGGAACAATTTGACAAATTTTTAGAAATATTTTGAGGAAGTTTTGAGGATCCGCAGTGACCTTTTTGGAAAAGAACGTTCGATGTCTCTTGAGTTTGATTTTTTTTTTAATTTCAAAATATCTAGTAGGTCCCTAGTTTTTTTTTTTCACTAAATCCACCTTTGAAATTACTTGACTTTTATTTTTGATATAATTTTGAAAAATGCGGGGATTTTGTTGTTTTTTTTAATTAATTGAACTCTTAGATTCCTCTTTACAAAAACTATGGAACCATCTGTGACAGCAATGCCGGTTTATTTTTGAAAAAATTTTTGAGAAAATATTGAGGGTCCGTAGTAATGTTTTTTTAAGGACTTTCAATGTCTTTTTTTGAAAAGCTCCAAAATCTTTAGTGGATTCCTAGTGTTTTTTTTTTTCAATTATGAAGCCATCTTTGAAGCCACTTGGGTTTTATATTTGGAAAAATTTTGAAAATTTCGGAGACTTCGTTGTTTTTTAAGTATTTGAAATTTTATATTCCCCTAATATATCTTTTTTAATTTGAAAGCTTATTCGCGATTCCTTTAAAAAAATATGGAACCGTCTGAGAGCGGTGGCGTTTTATTCTTGAAAAATTTTTGAAAATATTTTAAGGAAGTTTGAGAGTCCGTAGTGATTTTTTTGTGGACAAGAACCTTCCAGGTGTTTTGCGTTTGATTTGTTTAAAAATTTTAAAATATCTAGTGGGTCCGTAGTTTTTTTTTTAATTTCTAAATCCATCTTTGAAACTACTTGACTTTTATTTTTGAAAAAATTTTGAAAAATTCGGGGATATTGTTGTTTTTTTAAGTATTTGAACTCTTAGATTACTCTTTATAAAAACTATGGAACCGTCTGTGACAGCAATTCCGGTTTAGTTTTGAAAACACTTTTGAGAAAGTATTGAGGGCCCGTAGTAATTTTTTTTAATGAACTTTCAATGCCTCTTTTTTTTAAAAAGCTTCAAAATCTTTAGTGGATTCCTACTGTTTTTTTTTTTCAATTGTGAAACCATCTTTGAAGCCACTTGCGTTTTATATTTGGAAAAATTTTGAAAGTTTCGGGGACTTCGTTGTTTTTTTAGTTATTTGTGGTTTTAGACTCCCCTAATATGTCTTTTTTAATTGGAAAGATTATTATTCGCGATTCCTTTAAAAAAGATATGGAACCGTCTGAGAGCAGTGGCGTTTTATTTTTGAAAAATGTTTGAAAATATTTTAAGGAAGTTTGAGAGTCCGTAGTGATTTTTGGTGGACAAGAACCTTCCAGGTGTTTTACGTTTGATGTAAAAAAAAAATTAAAATATCTAGTGGTCTAGCTTTTTTTTTCATTTCTAAACCCATCTTTGAAGCCACTTGGGTTTTATTTTTGGAAAAATTTTGAAAATTTCGGGGAGTTTGTTATTTTTTAAGTATTTGAAGTCTCATTTGACTCTTCTAATATCTCTTTCTTAAGTTGAAAGATTATTCGCGATTCCTTAAAAAAAATGGAATCATCTGTGAGAGCAGTGCCGCTTTATTTTTGAAAATATTTTAAGGAAGTTTGAGGGTACGTAGTTTTTTTGTGTGGAAAAAACCCTCGAGGTGTCTTGCGTGTGATTTTTTAAACAATTTCAAAATATCTAGTGGGTCCCTAGAATGTTTTTCATTTCTAAATCTATCTTCGAAGTCACTTGATTTTTATTTGAAAATTTCGGGGACGTTGTTTTTTTAAGTATGTGTTGAAGTTTTAGACTCCCCTAATATATCTTTTTTAATTTGAAAGATTATTATTCGCGATTCCTTTAAAAAATATATGGAACCGTCTGAGAGCGGTGGCGTTTTATTCTTGAAAAATTTTTGAAAATATTTTAAGGAAGTTTGAGAGTCCGTAGGGATTTTTTTGTGGACAAGAACTTTCCAGGTGTTTTGCGTTTGATTTTTTTAAAAAATTTAAAATATCTAGTGGTCTACCTTTTTTTTTCATTTCTAAACCCGTCTTTGAAGCCACTTGGGTTTTATTTTTGGAAAAATTTTGAAAATTTCGGGGACTTTGTTGTTTTTTAAGTATTTGAAGTCTCATTAGACTCTTCTAATATCTCTTTCTTAAGTTGAAAGATTATTCGCGATTCCTTAAAAAAAATGGAACCATCTGTGAGAGCAGTGCGGTTTTATTTTTGAAAATATTTTAAGGAAGTTTGAGGGTACGTAATTTTTTTGTTTGGAAAAAAACCCTCGAGGTGTCTTGCCTGTGATTTATTAAAAAATTTCAAAATATCTGGTGGGTCCCTAGAGTTTTTTTCATTTCTAAATCCATCTTCGAAGTCACTTGGTTTTTATTTGAAAATTTCGGGGACGTTTTTGAAATCATACACTACCTTTTTTTTAATTTAAAAGATTATTCGGGATTTGTTTAAAAAATATATAGAACCGTTTGTGGGAGCAGTGCCGTTTTATTTTTGACAAATTTTTGGAAATATTTTAAGGAAGTTTTGAGAATCCGTATTAATTTTTTTTGGAAAAGATCCTTCGATGTCTCTTGTGTTTTCATTTTTTTTTTTAATTTTCAAAATATCTAGTAGATCCCTAGTTTTTTTTTCATTTCTAAATCCATCTTTGAAGCCACTTGGCTTTTATTTTTGGAAAAATTTTGAAAAATTTGGGGATTTTGTTGCTTTTTAAGTATTTGAATTCTTAGATTCCCCTAATATATCTTTTTTAAGTTGAGAAAGATTATTCGCGATTTCTGTACAAAAACTATGGAACCGTCTGTGAGAGCAATGCCGTTTTATTTTTGAAAAGAACTTTCCATGTATTTTTTTTTTAAGTTTTAAAATATTTAGTGGTTCCTAGTGTTTTTTTTTTATTGTGAAGCCATCTTTGAAGCCACTTGGGTTTTATTTTTGAAAAAATTTATTCGAATAATTACAAAATAATCGAGAATTCAAAAGAAGTGACATCTAACCTAACGCAATAACTATTTTTAAAGCTTGGGAAGAAAAAGCAGAATCTCATAAACACAATTTTTTATTTATTTAGCTGAAAGATAAAAGTCTCAAAGTTGTTAATTTTTGAAGAGAAACTATCCTTTATTATACAGAAAAATACCACACACTGGCAAGTGGAAGGGAGTTGAGCGAGCAACCTTCTGGAATGAACCAGCATAATTTTAAAGACTAAAAAATTAAAGCTTTCAAATGATAACAAAACATAATGGAAAAAGTTTAGGTATTAATATCGGAAAATTCTTGTACTTGGTAACTCTAGTAGTCGAAGTTTCATCGATTTAATTACATTTCTGGCCGTTTTCTCTGGACGACACCAGCGCCGCCCTCGTCACAAACACAAACTAGAAAAATCGTTCCCATCTATTTAACCCCTTGCTATTCTACGTTCGACCTCTACATTCAAACTCGGACACACTCAAAAGGATAGTTTATTTCTTGCTATCATAAAAATAAAAAAAATATATAAAAATTATATAAAACAAGTAACAATTGAAGTAAACAAGAGATGAAGTAAAAAGAGGGGTGAATAATATCAAAAATATAATTTACACAGCGGACACCAATGTTGAATAGAATTTCGATGCTTGGCAGATATTGCAATACTGATGTTTTTGATTACGATGCACTAACCTAGTTTACACTTACTCACACATCTATAAATTCGGATTAAAACGACGATGAGTCGGAATTCATCTCGTTGAAAAGGCTTAGTCTAACATTAGTCATAGAAACGCTAAAATCTTCATAACATGTCGAATGGAAACGCGGAGATGCGCAAGCCATAAATATAAACAAGAATTATGTACAATTGCACCGACCTCATTATTTTTACATCGTCGGCGGCTGAACACGTCCCCAGCAAATAGCAACATCACAATACAGTTTAGCCTTACCAATTTTTAATGTTCTAATAGTACGTACGGTGAAAGGTGGCGGTTTCACTTGTAACAAAAACGTCGCGAAACCGTTAACAATTTTTATGAGAATTTCTCCAAACCTGATAATTCGACTTAAGTCATGTCATCGAATTATCGCGCGATTGACCAATGGCAAAGAATTAATTCTTATATCATCACTAATGTAGTGGCGAGAATTAATTCTTGTGAGAAGCGGGCCTCAGTTTTTCCCCCAAGCAGTACCAACCTCCAGAGGGCGCCACGAAAGAAACGTCAAGCGAAGGCCAGCTCAAGAATGTATCTTCGAGACGTGAGCCTTGAGATAGCCCGGACTTTTAAAATACCGATTGCATTTCTCACACTGGAAACTTTTATACAGAAACTGCTGTTTTAACTTTGGATTAATATAAGGGTTTCCTCTAGTTCGACACCGGACACTGTGATGAGAAAACGCCCTCCGCTGCTGCCCCAAATTCCCCACTAACTTATCTAACATTTCTACGGAATTCTGGGGCTCCTCGTCGTACTCCAGCGGCTCCTGCTTGATTATCGGATTCTCCTCCACCTCGAAGTTCTCCTTCTTGCACTCCGTGTCGCTGTACGAAGTCTCTACATAATAATTGCACGAAAAGTTGGGCTCGCCGTCGTCGTAGTCGTACTCCGTCTTGATTTTGATGTCGGGCTCCACCACCACCTCCTCGCTCTTCACCTCGCCGTCCCCGGGCTCCGGAATATACGAGTCGAACATGTCGTCGTCGTCGTCGCTCTCCGACAAGTTGTCTTTATTCTCGATAATGTAGAGTATCGTGTTCCTGAATTCAGCAAAATTGTTGAGAAAAAAGGTGTTAGTGAAGTTCGTCAAGCGACTCAAAGGGGAGGCGTCGCTCATCAAACAATTGTTGTGATTACCGTCGTATTTATACCCGAAGTCGAAATTCTTGGTGAACTCGATGATGTTCCGCAGCCCGCCGCCCCTGTGCGCCTGCTTATACACCCGCCGCTTCCTCGGCGGCCCCTTTTCTTTCCGTATCGAGTGCTTCCTCGACAGCAGCAGCTTCTTCAACAGCGAGCACCTCTGCATCTTCGTGATGCGTTTCCGCTTGAACACATTTTTCCCCAAGGGGGTTATCGTGACCCTCAGTTCCGAGTTGACGAAATTGTCGGCGCTGATTTTGTTCGAGCTGCTGATCAGCTCCGTCAGGTACCCCTGGAGGATTTTCGTCGACTGTTTACACATATTGTGGAAGTCGTAGCTCTGCCGCAACTTCTTAACGCACTGTAAACAAATCTGTGTGGACAAACTTTCTCTGTTGATAACCTGGAAAAAAATCAATAGGTCACCAGAGGTGTCATAAAGCCTTGGACACAATTACCATTTTCGTGCACAGCTCGAGCTTCTCGCCAAATGTCACATAGTCAAAGTCGACGGTGTTTATGTCCACTAATTTTACGCCCGTTTTTATACAAATCCGACAGAATTTCGCCAAATAATACATTATTTATAATTTTTGTATAAATGTCAATCATGAGTATCATATGTCAAAATGTCACCTGTCAACCCGTTGCGCAGCATAACAAAACAAATGACAACTGTACAGCCAACCTGACGCGGCATCGCGCAGTCGAATGGGTTTGGCGGCGCCAGGTTGGCATTGGTGACAGGTCGATGACGTTTGCCCCCTTGTGTCAAAACAAAACCGTGTAAATCAAACGCGAACTGTTCAGCACAGACGGTAAGTTTCAATTGCAATCTGAGTCAAAAGTGACGTTTTTAAACTCTGCAGGTATCTCGAAATCCAGTGTCTAAGTACCGGTAGGTAGAGGTTAGAAGAAGACGTCGTCGACGGTGGCCCCCAGGTGCAATTCCACGGGAGCAGGTCGTGAGGAATTTAATAATTCTCCAGGAATCCAGGTAGTTGTTGGTAGGTTGTCACCGTTCTTTCAATTATTTTAATGCATTTTCACGTATTGTATTTTTCATTGTTACATTCAAGGTTGTAGGAATAAATATTTAATAAGGAAGCTTTCTCTTTTTGTTCTTTTTTGTCTAGTTGAATAGTAATGTTTTTGTTTTTGGGGTTATATTTCTCATTTCTCGTCCTAATTTTTGATGTTTATGACCCTAATTTTAAGCTGTCATCGGTGGTTGTTGCCTAAACTATTTTTAGATGTCGCCACCGAATTTAAAATGTATCACAAGCTTTTATTTGAAAATTTTCGAAATTGATTCGTGTACGCAATTTACTACAATTTACAATGTATATTTTGCTCAAATCGTGTTATCGTGAATCTATAAACGTGATGATTTCTTACAGATTTTATTTTATTACTCGGACAATTCGCATATTCTTTCTCAGAATATTTATAGTTTTGTAATGATTATGCAATAATGTAATAAATAACATAAAAAAAATAAATTTGGCGCGTTCAATATATGCAACACAGTCTATTAAATGGATAGATTAATTTCAGTTTCGCTGGAAATGACATCAATTTTCTTTTAACACAAAAGGGTATAATTTTTCAATTCATTAACTTGATGTAAATGAGTTTTGTAATCATGATATTTGGCCGTTTTTAAAGTTCTCCGTATAGAGGATCAGTGTCGGATTGTGGACATTTACAAAATGGAGGCCTGTGGTGTTGTTTGGGTATTATTATTACTATTATTATTTTCATTTTTCCTGGCGACATTGGCTTTTTGGGAAAATTATGTTGTTTTTGGAATTTTGATGGCGCTACCAAGAAAAACAAAGCTAGTAAAAAAATTGTGGAAGGTTATTTTGACAGAACTTTATTTGCTATGGTCCGAAAAATTCCGCTTTTTTAAAAAATTGTAAAATTAGATTCTGCGATGTTTGTTTTGTGGTAACTGTTAACCTCTACAAAGTTGCGTAATTAACATCGCCGCAACCCCTCCGTCATTAAGGGGCTCGCTAGACGAGGTATAAAATTTTTTTGGTTTTTTGTATGAAAAAATTATATTAATATAGATGTATCATACATCAAACTGCAGCTTTATTCATATTCTAGAGCGCAGAGACCAGTTCAATCAACTTAGAAAATATGGCTGAGATATATCGTAAAAAAAGCACCATTGTATGTTTTCTTTTCAAGTTTTTTAAGTCATAACCATCATGGAATAGCTTGAAAATTCGCACATGGATAAAACATCACTTTCTACAGGGCGCAGAGTCATTATATGTTTGTTAGTGGTACAATTTGTTTAAATAATAATGTGTTTATTAAAATCAAAATATACCACAAATTAATGAAAAATACGTCGAATAATTTTAACAGGAATACCAGAGGAAAATTAATGATCTATTGCTTAGCAGAGTTTTAAAAAAAAAACTAACAATTATTGAAAAAAATGGGTATCAATTCGAGAGAACTTGAGCCGTTAGTTCAGTACTTTGCCGATAGGAGCGCCACTAAAATTTACGGAAGCCACTTTCCAGATAAAACCCTTATCGCCTACTCTACCCTTAGATCATATAATAAATAGATACCAATACTCAAACTGAAAGCTGTGACTAGACATGAAGCTATCTGTTGTCGTTTTCTACGTCAAGAGGAGTAGTATAATGCTATCCTTGTGTGATCACCACATCTTCATCTTTGTTATATGCATTTCATCTGTATATGTCTATCTCACTTCCATCCTTGTACCGCACCAGCGCAACAAATCGCTTTTGACAGATGTTTCTTCTAACCTCTCTTTCGAGTTGTTGTACAAAAAACAATTTTAGAATTTAGAACAAAGATCCTATTTTAAGTGATGTAATCATAAAGGATCACAATTGGTGCCCAATAATTTACTATTCCTTTCATTATCTACTGTGAATTATTTATAAAATCAAGCTGTCAACATCTTTCGTACGAAGTTAGTTCAGACATACTTCCTAAAATTTAGGCGCGCAAAATTCAAATAGTGATCAGGCAAGGATAGCTTCATTGTAATCCCTCCATGTACGAGAGAGATGTGTGACAGGAGGATGTCGTCACAGGCTCTGCTAGGGAAAGAACACGGCATGGTGGTATCTATTTATTATATGATCTAAGACTCTACCATAATTTGATTGTTAGCGTTCTCGGCTGATTTTTCTAATTTATGGCAAGGAACTCAGTTTTATAACAAGCCGCCAGGACCGGCCGTAGTAATCTATTGTTAAAGAGTTTAACTTTTACGAATACCTTGTCTAAGACGAGCTTGCTTCATAGACGAACAATATTTTTTTGTTATTAAACCAGGACCGTTTTAATCACAATATATTTACTTGTCCTCTCTAAAAAAATGAAGACGTCACCTCAAAATTTTGCTGAATAAATCCTATCTAAAATGTACAAAATATGATGAGTCTCTTCTTGTAATTTATCATCCCATTCATATTTTGTGGATTCGGATATATAGGGTGACTCAAAAAATGTAATGAATGCGCAAATTTATTTTGTTGATTTAATCAGGAACTACAAAACCGAATGCTTTGAAATCTAATGTGAAAAAAAAACATAATAGGCATGCAGTCGTCACGTTTCCGATAGCGAGGGAAGTATTGTCTAAACTCTTTTGACCAATTTTTTTGCTTTTCCCATTTCTCCATTTCTGAATTTTTCAATGTTTCAGTTTGGGATTTTTTCACTGTTTCGATTCTTTAATTTTCCTTCCATTTTTAGGTTTTTCAATATTTCAGCTTTGGAATTTTGCAATATTTCGTTTCTTCAATTTTTCAAATTTTTGATATTGTGTTTTCTCGGTTTTTAAATTTTTCGATATTTTAATTTTTCAGTTTTTAAAGTTTTAGATTTTTAAATTTCTCATTATCTCGACTTTTCGATTTTTCAGTTCCATGATTTTTCAATTTGTCGAATTTTTAAATTTTAGATTTTTTGTTTTCTTTGATGTTTTGAGTTCTCGATCATTCGATTTTCTGAGTTTTCAGGCTTAGATTTTTTTGTTGTTCAATTCTTGGATTTTAAAAATTTTTGTTTTTTAAATTCTCCAGTTTATCAACTTACTGGGATTTCAATGTTTTGATTTTTTGATTGTTCAATTTCTCGATTTTTTGAATTTTTAGTTTTTGATAGGATTTTTTTTTCAAAAATTTTCAATTTTTCAATTTATTAATTTTACGATACTTCAGTTTTGCTCGATTTCGATTTCTCAATTTTTCGACATATTACTGTTGGGATTTTTCAATTTATCGATTCTTCGATTTCTCGATTCTTCATATTTTTGGTTTCTCGAATTTCTTCATTTTTCGATTTCTCAGTTTTCCGATGTTTCACTTTTACGATTTTTAATTTTTTTTTATTTTTCAGTTTTCAATTTTTGACGGTTCTAAATTTTTCTATTAACTAATTTTTTGATTTTCACATTTCTCTAGTTCTCGATTTTTCAATTCTTTCTTCAGTTGTGATTTTTCAATTTTTCGATTTCTGAATTTTTCAATGTTTCAGTTTTGGATTTTTTCACTTTTCCGATTCTTCAATTTTCTTTCCATTTTTCAGTTTTTCAAGATTTCAATTTTTTGATTTTTGAATTTTAGATTTTTGTTTTTTTGATTTTTTTGGTGTTTCGATTTCCCAATTCTTCAATTTTTCGATATTTTAATTTTTCAATTTTTCGAATTTTTAAATTTTTGATTTTTCTTTTCTTTTATTTCTCAATTTTTGGATCTTTTAAATTCTATATTTTTCGATTTTATTCTTTTTTGATGCTTGGATTTCTCAATTTTTCAAGTTTTCAATTCTCAACTTTTCAGGATTTGAATATTGAGAAATTTTCAATTTCTGGATTTTCAATTTTCAGATATTTTAATTTTTTTTTTTAATTTTTCGATTTTTGGGTGTTTTGATTTTTCGATTTTTCCGATTTGTTATCGATTTTAAATAAATTTCATTTTGCAGTTTGCGCGTTCAGCGGGAGTATTATTTGTTGTGCTGCACTTGACGGGTGAGGGAAGTTCTCTCGAAATAACCTTCCACCAATTTTTATATTTAGCACGTAGGGTTCTTACTAAGCATTCCTTATTTAACCGAACAGTTATTAATTTAACTAAGCAGCTATTATTTCACCAAGCATATATTATTTTGACTGAGAATTTATTTTTTAACTGAGCATTTATTATATAACTTAGCATTTATCATTTTTACGGAGCAAAAATACAGAGCGTTTAAAAATAGAAATGTGCATTTAATTTCTTCCCTTATCTAAATAACAAAAAAACGGTATTAATAATACATTTAGGCGAATAAACTAATAGAAGCCTTGTTTGCTCAACAGTGTCTAAATTGTATTTGAATAATATAATAATTATCTCGAATATTAAAATTAATATGTCAAAAGAATACGGGAAATGATTATTCTGTGCTGAAGGTATGTTGTGGGCCCCCTCTCATAAATTATCATTATTGTTCATTATCGGCTTACGATGTTTTTATGACCCACGTCCGGTAGTCGTCTACTCCAGCGCGTCAGATAGATTTAAAGAAGAATTGCTGGTTGCGTTTAAGGCAACAAATGTCTCTCGTCTAGCGTCCCCCCTTAAATATGCCGTATATTTAAAGTAGATAACTAACGGGCAAAAAATGTAGACAATTTCATTTTCTCAGTATACAAGGTGTTCATTCTATCTGTTCACGCCTGAATATTTCTGCATAGGCAATCCATTTTACGTTTCATAAACAGCTTTGATTAATTTTTATTTTTAAATAATAATGAACGCATAGGTAGTAATGATCAGAACCAAAATTATGACAAATCATTTCTGTCAGCTAAATATTTTCAATTTTCGTTTGCTTTAAAATGTTTTCGAATTCTGAAAAAACAGACATGCTATTAATATTGGGAAAGTGTGACAAAAATGTTGATGCTGCTGTTCGTCTCTACGCCAGGCAATATCCCAATAGAAAAACTCCCTCAAATTCAGCGTTTAGAAAACTTGAAAAAAATTTACGAGAATTTGGGCAATTCAAAAAAATGAAAGTTAGAAATGGAACTGTAACAACGCCCGTTAATGAAGCTGCTCTAATGGAAACTGTAGCAGAAAATCCCCACGTGAATCAAAAACAGATTTCAAGACAAATGGAGATTAGTTTGGTTTGCATCTTAAAGGCAAACCGATTTCATCCATACCATATAACAATTGTCCAACATTTAAGAGACCCTGTTTTTTCATCTATTTTACGGTCCTTTATCATGTTTTTAAGCAAAGTGGCCAATTTTGACGTTGAAGTTTTTTATTGATTTTTATAAACTAAAAAAAGGTTTGTCGTGAAGTTCTTTTTAATGCATTTTTTTAACATTTGACCCCATTTTTAACGGGAGCGATATCATTTTGAAACCAAATTGTTCTTCGTATGTCTAGGTCTACGTTTTCCAACAGTTCAAGTAAAATATTCTTTAAAAAATTTAGATACATAGGTTCGTTTAAATTTCCTTCAAAAAAATGTGCACCAATGACGTTGTTACCAACAATTCCACACCAAACATTAACTTTGAAAACCTCTTGGAAGTGCTTTTCCTGATACCAATGGGGATTTTGTTGGGCATAGTAATGTGACTTGTGTCTGTTCACACACCCGTTATTGGTAAATGTGGCTTCATCCGTAAACAAAACGTTAAATAAAAAATCTTGATTGTCTCGTAATTGAGCCCTCACGAATTCGCAAAACACTAACCGTCGGATAAAATCGCGTTCTGTTAAATGTTGGACAATTGTCACATGTTATGGATGAAATCGGTTTGCTTTTCAGATGTTGAAAACTGAACCCAAACTAATCTCCATTTGTCTTGCAATCTGTTTTTGATTCACGTGGGGATTTTCTGCTACAATTTCAATTAGAGCAGCTTCATTATCCAGCGTTACTACAGTTCTATTTCTAACTTTATTTTTTTTTTGAATTGCCCAAATTCTCCAAAATTTTTTTCAAGTTTTCTAAACGCTTGATGCGAGGGAGTTCTTCTATTGGGATATTGCCTGGCGTAGAGACGAACAGCAGCATCAAAATTGTTGTCACACTTTCCCAATATTAATCGCATGTCTGATTTTTCAGAATCCGAAAACATTTTAAAGCAAACGAAAATTGAAAATATTTGGCTGACAGAAATAGTTTGTCATAATTTTGGTTCTGATCATTGCTATCTATGCGTTCGTTATTATTTAAAAATAAAAATTAATCAAAGCTGTTTATGAAATGTAAAATGGGTTGTCTATGGAGAAATATTCAGGCGTGAACAGATAAAATGAACATCCTGTATATTAAAAAGCGTGAGACACAAATCTGAAGACTTCAAATTTTTTATTTTCGTGTTTCATTAAAAAAATAAAAAAGAACGCGAATACACATGAAATAAATTCATATAAGGTGACGTTTGCGAGTGATAAAATTTTAGCCTACAAAGAGAATTTACATTTCATTATTATGCTGAGTAACTGAATTAAAACGCCCCCTTATAAAAATGAACGGAGTCTGGCAACTTACATAAAATAAATATTGGACAACAAAAATTTTGACTACAAGAATTAATAGTTACCTGTTTTTTTTACAAAATCTGTACCTATATAAAATTGCTCATGGAAGGAGTTGCTATAGATTATATTATTATAATAAATACTTAATTATATGTATTACAATTTAAAAACTAAAACAAAATTGTTATGCGTTCGAAATGTCGCGCTGTAAACAACAGAAAAATGTAATTTTAAAACATAAAATTAAAAAAAAACCGCCACTTATAACAAAAACTAAAAACATAAATACATAAATTTGGCACGTTTCTACTAAGTTAATACGATCACAAATTTTCTAATGTAAATGTTGCCAACTTAATGTGAAATACACAGTAGTTGAAAAGTTAACTGTTATAAACTACTCGTATTAACTGTATTCTAAAAAGGTTCGATTACGCTCGGGAAGTAAAAGTGTTTATTTTTGTCAATTGTTCATCTATACATGTAAAATTGTTTGTCCTGACTGACTGATTCATCAACGCAGAGCCTAAACTACTGCAGCTAGAAACATGAAATTTGGACAATAGTTTCCTTTTGTGATGTAAACACCCACTAAGAAAGGAACTTGGGAAATTCCACCCCTAAAAGGGTGAAAAGCGGTGGTAAAGTTTGTACAAGAAGACTATTTCCTAACTATTTCTGTTGTAAATATTTACGTAAAACTTGGTATTAATGCTTTTCAACACAAATAACGAAACACGTATTTCACCATTTTCCGAAATTCAACCCCTAAGGGGGTAAAAAGTGGTGGATAAGTTTGTACGGGAAAACTACTTCTGTTGCACATTTTCACGTGGAACTTGGTATTAATGCTCTTCAACACATATAATGACACACGTATTTCAGCATTTTCCGAGATTCAACCCCTAAGGGGGTAAAAAGTGGTAACTAATTGTGTATGGGAAAATATTTCTATTGTAAATTTTTGCTTGGAACTTGATATTAATGCTTTTCAACACAAACAATGTAACGCGTATTTCAGCTGTTTTTGAGATTCTACCCCTAAGAAGATCAAATGAGGTGACAAAGTTTATATGAGAAAAAATATTTGTATGGCGATATTTAGTTGAAATGTTGTTAACATTTGTTACTTGAAAATTGGTAATCATGTAAAATTGTTTGTCTTGACTGACTGATTTTAATTCTTTTTTGAAATTCATCCCCAACGGAATATAATTTGGGTGGAAATGAAATGAAAGGATGTAGCTGTAGCAAAAAATATCCTCGAATTCTCCTGAAAGAAACCCAAACAGGCGAAGACAGCTACCCTCAATACCGGCGAAGAGGTTCCGCGGATGGTGGATTCACGATTGAATTCCATGTTGTAACCCTATATAACAGATGGGTGGTACCGTACAATCCACTTTTATCTTGAACTTTTGCTGCTCACATCAACATAGAGTATTGTAACTCTCAAACTCCAACCAGGATTATTTGGTCTTGAAAATGACAATGATGAGGTCAAATTATATGAAAGTGGTCGATATATTAGCAGCTTTGAAACTGTCTGGAGAATCCTGACCCTTTCCTATACATGAACAATTTCCAGCGGTTTTTCATCTCACAGTGCACTTGAAAAATGGCCTGCTGTCTGTTTTAATCCTAACGACTTTAATAATGTAACTGAAAAGGTAAATAATTCACAGAAAACTACTTTTCTAGCATTTTTTGAGCTTTACAAAACGAATAATTTTGCAAAAATCCTTTTTTATGTTGAAGTCCCTTCATACTATGTGTGGAAAAGTACCAAATTTGAGAGACAAAAACGTGGAAAAAATGTTGATGGTTGGCCGGGAGTCAAAACCGATCAAACTTTGGGCAGAGTGTACACCGTTCACCCTAATAACGCCGAATGTTTCTACCTTGGTCTTCTTCTTCAAGAAATGAGAGGGCCAACATCATTCTCGGATTTAAAAACTATTGATGGTGTCGCTTATCCCGCATATCACTCATCATGCAAAGCTTTGGATTTGTCAAGTTCAGTCAGAGTGTCAAGAGAGTGTTCATATTATAAATGAAATGTACAAGTGTGTGATTTCCTTTAAAGACACGGTGCTGTCTTTAGGAAGACAATGTTTAAAGTATTATGGTTCGCCTCAGCCTGTAAAACGTGAAGAAGTCATACAAAACAGAGACTATCTCAGAGTGATTAGCTATGACATACTTTTATAGGCACAACGAAAGTTTATTAAATACAGAACAATATCAAATTTACAACCAAGTTTTAGATAGGTCAGGTAAATGTCTGTTTTTACATGGCTGCCTACAATATTAGCGACAAAACTATCCAAATATTTTAACTTTTTTAAAGAAATATCCTTTAATTTAAAACATGACTTTTAATCAAATCGACAAAAGATAACCCAAATTACAAAATTCATGGGACCCTAACTCCAAACTTTCAGTCCTTATTTCACCCACTTAGGGGTAATTGATGCTTACATAACGAAAGGAACCTTCTGTCCAAATTTCGTGTTTCTAGCTCCAGTAGTTATGTTAATGAATCAGTTAGCCGAAGGACAAATACTTTTATATATTGTTATTAATGAAGACTTGCACAAACTTAAAAAGTAATAAAATTGAAATCAAAAAATAAATCAGCGGGTCAAAAATAATGTGTCCTAATTGCGAAAACCACGCAAGCGGAGCTGCGGGTAACAGCTAGTTTATAATAATTCTATTGAATCTTGTGTGTTAATAGGCTTCAACGGCATGGACAATTCGCCCTGAGGTGGCTCTGAAGCATCACCGCCTTTACAGAAATTATTATACCAAGTCTGTATTCTCTTTCTAAACACGTAACACACAAAACTAATAATAACTAGTATTGCTACTACTAGTATTATTATTGAGTAGGCCGAAGTAGCGGAAACGTCTGAAAAAATTAAATGTCAGTCCTGATTGCATAAAATGTTATAGTATTTTTTTAGAGAATATTTTCTCCCGCGTTTTAAATTTACTTACCTGGGGAAGGGCACTTTCCTGTTATTTTGTCGCATTTCTCACAATTTTCACATTTCCTGCTGCAATTTAATCCGTACGTTCTATCGTCACAGTCTAAAAGAAATCATACAATGCAGTTACAGAAAGACGCCAGCACTTTGTACAGACCTGTGTCACATTGATCTCCACGAAAACCCCAAGCGCACGAACAGTTAGAATTTCGGCAGATCTTATGTCGTTCACAATAAGGAAAATAAGGACCTAGAACTTCCGAACAGTTATGCATGCAGTTAATTCCAAGTTTTCCGGGTCTTTCACAGAGTTCATGATTTTCTACAGTTGTGGTGTTGACTGCAATTTCTTCTTCGTTTAATATTTTACAAGAGATTTTTTCACCATGTGAGATATTTTTTCGTACTGAAAATTATAATTAGCATTAATCTTGCCTAAAATAACTATCCATACTAATCTCTTAAGACTAATTTAAATTCGTATGAGATAATATTTACCAATACTGTCTTGAAAATTTCTACAGTATCTTATATCCAGACCCCACGTTCCATTCACATCATCATTACCAACTATTCTTCGATAAATAGCAATAACATTTTCTTTGCCACATTTTAATTTAATTTTCGAATTGTTCCACAATTTGGTTTGATTCTTGTTCTTTGTAAAATTATACGTTTCACCAAGCGTTGTTGAATTAACTTCCAGAAAACAGTTTTCGCACAAATAATAATACATTGATAAGCACGATATATCCAAACGATAAGTTTTTAGTATTGTAGGTTCACTATGCGTCGTAGTATTCGACCACCTAAATTTCACTAAAAAATATATACATTGCCAAAAAAATATACTTAGCCCTCTAATACATACAGTTATGTATTTTCCAAAACGTTTCATTGGAATTTGCTATTGTTACATTTTTCTGTCCACTTGATATATCGCTTTCCCATTTATGAGAAATATTTTTCACCAACTTTCCGTTTTCGTACAATATCAGGCTTTGATTTTTTTGAAGTAAAGTGAAGTGAAACCATCCAGTAGTAAAATTTTTTATTAGATCACATGTATGTGATCTGGGATAGGGATTATCGTCCTGGATAATATATATAATGTTTAATTTAAAACTGAATGGAGCATAAACCGAAAACGAAATTGTCTCGTTAAAGCTAAATTGTGAATGATTGCTTTTAGTACTTTGAAATTCTGAAAAGAAGAAAAAGAAAAATTAGTATCGGATGGTTTAGACAGAATTTCCCTAGTACAATTAAAGAAAACCAGTTTGTTAGAAAAATTATAATTTTTTTTTTTATGTTAACCTCTGTATGTTAAAATAAAGATAAGTGTGGACTGTCGAGCTACAGGTGAAGAGGCGTGTTATGCGTATGTTTCAAGTGAATTTTACGTAAATCTTACATACATAAAGCGTTTATTACAAAATCACTGGGAAGGGCAACCAAACTGGCGGACTTAACCACAAAAGTGCCAGATTTGCTGGACAAAGACACAAAAAGATAATCTAAAACACGGATGGACATAATGTAAAAAAAATGTAGGTTGTGGGTGTTTTTTACAGATTTATTTGCGCTCTTTTTGAGGTTATGAATGACGATATTTTTAAATTTATCTCGTAAATTACCTCTCCATCTTGAGTCGGTTATAGATTCGTTGGTTGAAGCCGGAACCCAGTCATCATTTTCTACCACAACATCGTCGACAAAGTCGTTATCTCTTTTCGGCTGCACATTTGGCGGTGCCAAATATGCCACAAGATTATCCTCCTCAGGAAAACATGAAGCGTTCAAATTGTTCCTCAGTAATATAACATCGCAAAATATGTGCCTAACAAGAAAACACACACAGAACACAACTACGAAACTCTGAATTTTCTGTCTCATTTTGAGAAATTATAGAAATGAGAGAATGTTCCGGTAAACAGCATGTCGCTTTTATATATATAAGTACCTTCATGTTATCTATAATTATCATTAAGATTAAGATTTCGAAACCTATGAAAATTGGCGATAATTTAAAAAAAAAAGTATCATCACACTCATATGCTTTTTCCAATGTCTACTAGTAAAATGCTCATTTTGTACTTAAATCTCGCTATTAAAACAATAGTTTAGTCGAAAGGATCAATAAAATGTTTATTCCATTTTAGAATCGTAATCTTGTTTATAAGCACCCAAATGCGGGCGTAAGTTGGCCTTTATCGCACAAATCTGTCAAAAATTGCTAAGCAACAATTGACTTGTAAGTCAACAATTGCAAAACTGAATACTTTGAAATTTTGACGTTTAATTAAACTTATTGTAAGTATGATAACTTTTTAATTAAAATGTATCTGTTTATCAACCCCAAAAAATTGATTACGTCATCTCAAAATTTTGCCGAATAAATTCTTTTGAAAATGTGCAAAATATGATCACTATACTTGTAACTGATCATTGCATTGATATTTTTTAGATTTGCTTATACAGCGTGACTCAAAAAAATTAATGAATCAGTCAATTTATTATTGATCAAATTAAGAACGAGCCGCTCCATTTTCTGGAAAATGTGAGAATACGCTCGTCTTTATAACAATAAATATAATATTTTGTTCAATTGAGGCTTATGAATAGTTTTAGTCATCTGTTTTGAGGCCATAAACTCATTCAAATCAAACAAATGTCTGCGTGACATTCTTCCGATGTATAAGCATTATTTTTAATACTACGCATATTGCTCAGATAGCTTTATTCCCGTTGATAATGTGGTGTAAATATATTTTTTGCACTCATGATCTTTTTTGATGGCTTTCGTGCATTCACCAGGGTGCGGGAGTTCGAACTTCCCGCACACGTGCATTTTAACTTCCCGTTGCCATGGTAACCTTAAAATACTCGCGCAGTGTCAACATTGTGATGTGTTGACGGCGCCATTGTTTATAAATAACTCACAGTTAATTTCTTCAGTTTAAAGGTTTATTCGTTGCAAAAAATATTGTACACAACACGTTCGTGAGCCTGCTTCCCGCATTCACGCAAATGCGGCACTCCCTTCGGTCGTGCCGCAAACAAGCGTTCATGCGGGAAGCAGGCTATCCCGAACTAGTTGTGTAAATTACTATTTTGCACTCATGACCTTGCTTGATGACTTTCGCGCATTCATCAGGATGCGGGAAGTCGGACTTCCCACACACGTGCTTTTTGCTTTCCGTTACTGTGGTAACCTTAAAATAGCCCGGAAAATGCAACCCGATCTAGTTTTTCCTTGCAAATCAGAAGCAGTACATCCCAATTTCACAATGTGAAAATACAATAATACAACAGATAACTGTTATTACTACACTGTAGTTTATCCATGTGTTTTACAACGCATTCATATTTTTCCATTATTGTTGGTATGCTACATCCATCAATGCACTGGATGTAATAAACAAAACTAAAGGATGATTCGTTAATGAATACATAAACAAGTGTCTCCCGAAAACTTTACAAGATTAATGTGTACTACATTAATTGCTCATCGGGGGAGTGAGTAAAAATTTATTATAATGGAACCCCACGTTGGCTTTTTTATGACGGCATGCGTTCAAATGCAATGTGGTGTATACTAAAATTCGAAAAGTGCTCTTTTTTGAGCGCGAAATTTTAATTCAAACCGGGACACTACAATGCTGTCTTCTTTGATATGTTGTACTTACGTATATTAAAAATCGTAACACACAAATTAAACACTTCGAAGACTTCAAATTTTTTATTTTCGTGTTTCATTAAAAAAATAAAAAATAACGCAAATACACATGAAATAAATTCATATAAGGTGACGTTTGCGAGTGATACAATTTTAGCCCAAAAATAGAATTTACATTTCATTATTATGCTGAGTAACTGAAGTAAAACGTCCCCTTATAAAAATGAACGGAGTCTGGCAACTTACATAAAATAAATATTGGACAACAAAAATTTTGACTACAAGAATTAACAGTTACGTGTTTTTTTACAAAATCTACCTATATAAAAATTGTTCATGGAAGGAGTTGCTATAGATACAGATTATTACAGTAAACACGTAATTATATGTATTACAATTTAAAAAATAAAACATAAAATTTCAAAAAAACCGCCACTTATAACAAAAACTTCAACATAAAATTGGCACGTTTCTACTGAGTTAACACGATCGCAAATTTTCTAATATAAATGCTGCTAACTTAAAGTGAAATACGCAGTAGTTGAAAAGTTAACTGTTATAAACTAGTCGTATTAACTGTATTCTAAAAAAGTTCGCTTACGCTCGGGAAGTAAAAGTGTTTATTTTTGTCAATAGTTCATTTATAACTCTGTTGAATCTTGTGCTCTAAGAGGCTTGAATTCCTTAGAGTATTCGACCTGAGGTGACTCTGAAGCATCACCGCCTTTACATAAATTATTATACCAAGTCAGTATTCTCTTTCTATACACGTAACACAGAATACTAATAAAAACAACTAATGTTACTACTATTATTGGTATTACTATTGAGTAGGCCGAAGTAGCGGAAACGTCTGAAAAAATTAAATGTCAGTCCTGATTGCATAAAATGTTTTAGTATTTTTTTAGAGAATATTTTCTCCCGCGTTTTAAATTAGTCTTTACTTACCTGGGGAAGGGCACTTTCCTGTTATTTTATCGCATTTCTGACAATTTTCACATTTCCTGCTGCAATTTAATCCGTACGTACTATCGTCACAGTCTAAAAGAAACCATACAATACAGTTACACAAAGACGCCAGCACTTTGTACAGACCTGTGTCACATTGATCTCCACGAAAACCCCAAGCGCACGAACAGTTAGAATTTCGGCAGATCCTATGTCGTTCGCAATGAGGAAAATAAGGACCTAGAACTTCTGAACAGCTATGCATGCAGTTAATTCCAAGTTTTCCGGGTTTTTCACAGAGTTCATCATTTCCTACACCTGTGGTGTTGACTGCAATTTCTTCTTCGTTTAATATTTTACAAGAGATTTCTTCACCAAGTGAGATATTTTTTCTTACTGAAAATTATAATTAGCATTAATCTTGCCTAAAATAACTACCCATACGAATCTCTTAAGACTAATTTAAATTGCCATGAGATAATATTTACCAATACTGTCTTGAAAATTTCTACAGTATCTTATATCCAGACCCCACGTTCCATTCACATCATCATTACCAACTATTCTTCGATAAATAGCAATAACATTTTCTTTGCCATATTTTAATTTAATTTTCGAATTGCTCCACAATTTGGTTTGATTCTTGTTCTTTGTAAAATTATACGTTTCACCAAGCGTTGTTGAATTAACTTCCAGAAAACAGTTTTCGCACAAATAATAATACATTGATAAGCATGATATATCCAAACGATAAGTTTTTAGTATTGTAGGTTCACTATGCGTCGTAGTATTTGACCACCTAAATTTCACTAAAAAATATATACATTGCCTAAAAAATATACTTAGCCCTCTAATACATACAGTTATGTATTTTCCAAAACGTTTCATTGGAATTTGCTATTGTTACATTTTTCTGTCCACGTGATATATGGCTTTCCCATTTATGAGAAATATTTTTTACCAACTTTCCGTTTTCGTACAATATCAGGCTTTGATTTTTTTGAAGTAAAGTGAAGCGAAACCATCCAGTAGTAAAATTTTTTATTAGATCACATGTATGTGATCTGGGATAGGGATTGTCGTCCTGGATAATATATATAATGTTTAATTTAAAACTGAATGGAGCATAAACCGAAAACGAAATTGCCTGGTCAAAGCTAAATTGTGAATTATTGCTTTTAGTGATTTCAGATTCTGAAAAGAAAAAAAAATGGTCTAACATCCCTCCTAATGAAAAATGATAAAATTTTCTTTTTGTTTTTGAGGTTATGAATGATATTTTTACATTTATCTCGTAAATTACCTGTCCATCTAAAGTCGGTTATAGATTCGTTGGCTGAAACTTGGAGCCAGTCATCATTTTCTCCCACAACATGGTCGACAAAGTCGTTATCTCTTTTGGGCTGCACATTTGGCGGTGCCAAATATGCCACAAGATTATCCTCCTCAGGAAAACATGAAGCGTTCAAATTGTTCTTCAGTAATATAACATCACAAAAAACGTGCCTAAGAAGAAAACACAAACCGAACACAACTACCAAACTCTGAATTTCCTGTCCCATTTTGAGAAATGGAGGAAATCAGAGAGTTCCGGCAAATAAAATGTGATTTTTATATGCATACCTTTATGTTATCTATATTTGTCTAAATTATCATTTTTAAATATAAGTAAAGCTACTTGCAAGGGAGAGAAATGCATCAAGGCGCAATATTTAAATTTTTAGATTGTGAACCTCAACCTTAGCGAGAAGGTAAACCCAGGGTATGATATTCTATGATGATTAGGACATCTCGTCCCCTAAGAACTTGTTTGATCCACAGACCGGAGTGCACTCAGGCCAATGTCGGCTCTAAGCGTTCAGAATTTCTGTGGAAAATTATTATTTAAGTAGATGCTTTTAGTTACAAACATAATATCACATTTCATATGTTTGACTTGATTTTGACATGCAAGAATACATTATCAGTTTTTGAATTTTTGGATGTTTCGATTTTTCGATTTGTCGATTTTTCGATTTTTTACTTTTCGGCTTTTCGATTTTTCCGTTTTTCGATCCCCCATTTTTCAATTTTCCAATTTTTAAAATTTTCCGAGTTTCGATTTCTGGATTTGCAGATTTTTCACTTTTTCGAATTTTTATTTTTTTGAATTATTGATGTCTGGATTTCTCCATTTTTCGCTTTTACGATATTTTAATTTTTCAATGTTTTAAATTTTAGATCTTTCGATTTTTCTATTTTTTAGTTCAATATTTTTTAATTTTTCAAATTTTGACGTTTCTGAATTTTCAATTTTCCGATTTCGCAATTAATTTATTTTTTTATTTGTCCATTTCTCGACTTCCCAACGATTCGATTTTTCAGTTCTTCAGTTCTTCAATTTTTCGATTTTTTAAGTTTGTGATTTTCCGACTTTGCTGTTTGACTTTTCAATTTCTCAATTTTTTAATTTCCCAATTATTGGATATTTCGTTCAATTTTGTGATTTTTCAGTTTTTCGATTCTCCAATTTTTCTTCTATTTTTCAATTTTTCGATATTTCAGTTTTGGGATTCTTTAGTATTTCAACTTTTCGATTTTCAATTTTTCGTTGTTAAAACTTAACAATTTTTTAACTGTATTTATACTTTCTCAATTTTTTAACTTTTCGATATTTTAACTTTTCAATTTTTAAAATTTAAGCTTTTTCAATTTCTTGAGTTTTCAGTTCTTCCATATTTCAACTTTTCAATTTTTGGCATTTTTAAGTTTTCGATTTTCAAATTTATTTTTTAATGTTTCGATTTTCCAATTTTTCGATGTTTCGAAATATAAATAGGCCAAAATCGAAAAGTTAAAAGTGGAAAAATTGATAAATCGAGAGATTGAGCAATCAAAACATCGAAACGTCCGAATCTCGAAAATCGAGATCTCAAAAAATTGAAAAATTCGAAAAATTGAAAAATCAAAATATCGAAAAGTTGAAAAATTGGGAAATCTAAAGTTTAAAAAACTGAAAACTGAAAATGCAGAAAATAAAAAATCGAAAAATCCAGAAGTCGAAAAATCGAAACGTCGAAAAATCGAAATATCCAATAATTGAGAAATTAAAAAATTGCAAAATTGAGAAATCGAAAAATCAAAAAAGGAAACTTTGAGAAGTCGCAAAATGAATTGAAAAATAGAAATACTGAAGAACTGAAAAATAAAAAAATCGAGAAATCCAAAAATCTAAAATTTAAAGCACTGAACAATTAAAACATGGCAGAATTGAAAAATCGAGAAATACAAACATCAAAAAATACATGTTCGAAAATCTAAAATTTAAAAATCAAAAAACTGAAAAATCGACAAATTGAGAAATCGAAACTCCAGAACTTAAAAAATTTGGAAAACCGAAAAATTGAAAACTCCAAAGTAAAAAATTGAAAAACCGAGAAATCAAAAATCGAAACATGGAAACATTTGAATACGATAAATCGAGAAACAAAAAATTGAAAAATTGAAATAAAAAAGAACTGAAATCTCGAGAAATCGAAACACTTAGAATTTTAAAAACTGAAAAATTAAAACATCGAAAAGTTGAAAAATTGAAAAATCGAAAGTTCAAAAAACGAAAAACTGAAAATCCAAAAAATAAAAAATCGAAAAATCCAGAAGTCGAAAAATCGAAACGTCGAAGAATCGAAATATCCAAAAATTGAGAAATTAAACAATTGCAAAATCGAGAAATCGAAAAATTAAATAAGGAAACTTTGAGAAGTCGAAAAATGAATTGAAAAATAGAAATACTGAAGAACTGAAAAATAAAAAAGTCGAGACATCCAAAAATCTAAAAATTTAAAACACTGAACAATTAAAACATGGCTAGATTGCAAAATCGAGAAATCCAAACATCAAAAAAATAAATATTCGAAAATCTAAAATTTAAAAATCGAAAAACTGAAAAATCGACAAATTGAGAAATCGAAACTCCAGAATTTAAAAAATTTGGAAAATCGAAGAATTGAAAATCCCAAAAGTAAAAAATTGAAAACCGAGAAATCAAAAATCGAAACATGGAAAAATTCAAAAACTGAGACATCGAGAAATCGAAAAATCAAAACATGAAAACATCTGAATTCGATAAATCGAAAAACTCTGAATTTTAAAAATTGAAAAATTAAAACATCGAAAAGTTGAAAAATTGAGAAATCGAAGTATAAAACAGTCGAAAAAATGAAAAATCTCAAGTTTAAAAAACGAAAAACTGAAAATCCAAAAAATAAAATATCGAAAAATCGAAACGTCGAAAAATCGAAATATCCAAAAATTGAGATATTATAAAATTGTAAAATTGAGAAATCGAAAAACCAAAAAAGGAAACTTTGAGAACTCAAAAATGAATTGAAAAATAGAAATAGTGAAGAACTGAAAATGAAAAAATCGAGATATCCAAAAATCTAAAAATTTAAAACACTGAACAATTAAAACATGGCAAAATTGAAAAATCGGGAAATTCAAACTTCAAAAAATAAATATTCGAAAATCTAAAATTTAAAAATCAAAAAACTGAAAAATCGACAAATTGAGAAATCGAAATTCCGGAATTTAAAAAATTTGGAAAATCGAAGAATTAAAAATCCCAAAAATAAAAAATTGAAATACCGAGAAATCCCAAAAACCAAAACATGGAAAAATTCAAAAACTGAGACATCGAGAAATCGAAAAATCAAAACATGGGAACATCTGAATTCGATAAATCGAGAAATCAAAAAACTTGAAAAATTGATATAAAGAAGAACTGAAAAGTCGAGAAATCGAAAAACTTAGAATTTGAAAAATTAAAAATCGAAAAACTGAAAAATCGAGAAATCGAAACCCAGAATTTAAAAAATTGAAAAATCGAAACATCGAAAATTTGGAAAATCGAAAAATTGAAAATCCCAAAAGTAAAAGATTGAAAAACTAAGAAATCCAAAAATCGAAACATTAAAAAAAATCAAAAATAGACATCGAGAAATCTAAAAATCAAAACCCGGAAACATGTGAAATCGAGAAATCAAAAAATTGAAAAATCGATAAATTAAAAAAAAATTGGAAAATCGAAAATTTAAAAATTCGGAACATTGAAAAATTGAAATGAAGAAGAACGGAAAACTCGAGAAATTGAAAAACTCAGAATTTTAAAAATTGAAAAATTAAAACATCGAAAAGTTGAAAAATTGAGAAATCGAAGTATAAAACAGTCGAAAAATTGAAAAATTTGAAGTGTGACGAAAAATTGAAAATCCAAAAAGTAAAAATTCGAGAAATCAAAAAATCCAGGAGTTCAAAAATCGAAAAATTCAAATGTTGAAAAATTCCAGAACTGAAAGAAATACCCAAAATTGAGAAATTAAAAAACTGAAAAATTGAGACATCGAAAAACTAAAAACGCAAAGTCGAAAAATTGTAAGCTTAAAAATAAAAAAATTGAAAATTAAAAAACCGAAAAGGTGAAGAACTGAAGAAGTGAAAAATCGAAACTTTGAGAAATCGAGAAATGGGAAAATAAAAAAAAATACTTCAAAAATGGGAAAACTGAAAGTTTGAATGTTAAAATTTGAAAAATGAAAAATCGAAATATTTAAAAATCGTAAAATTGAAGATGACAAAAACTGAAAAATCGAAAAATTAAAAAAAAATTGGAAAATCGAAAATTTAAAAATTCGGAAAGTTGAAAAATTGAAATAAAGAAGAACGGAAAACTCGAGAAATCGAAAAACTTAGAATTTTAAAAACTGAAAAATTAAAATCGGAAAATTGAAAAATTGAGAAATCGAAGTATGAAACCGTCGAAAAATTGAAAAATCTGAAGTGTAACGAAAAACTAAAAACGCAAAGTCGAAAAATTGTAAGCTTAAAAAATAAAAAAAATGAATATTGAAAAACCTGAAAAACCGAAAAGTTGAAGAACTGAAGAAGTGAAAAATCGAAACTTTGAGAAGTCGAGAAATGGGAAAATAAAAAAAAAGATTACTTCAGAAATGGGAAAACTGAAAATTTAGAAATGTCAAAATTTGAAAAATTGAAAAATCGAAATATTTAAAAATCGTAAAATTGAAGAGGACAAAAATTGAAAATTCGTATCATTGAAACATAGTAAAACTGAGAAATCGAAAAATAAAAAATCGGGAAATCGAAAATTTGAATATTGGAAAAAATGAAGAAGCCTAGAATTGAAATATTGAAAAATTGAGACATCTAAAGTTATTAAAGATAGGGAAATCGAAAATTGTAACATGATATCATCAGCTTTTGGGGGGCATGACCGGATAAATTTTGACTAACGATTTAACATATTTGCATTAACCATAAATTGGAAAATGTTGTTGATTTTTTTATACAAAAATCTTGACGTGTAAGGTAAAAACTCAACACGGATTCATAAACCGTAAACGGAGGATATAAAATTTAAATTACATCTACTATTTTAAAATTTGGAGATTACGTCATTTTACGTGACAAAGTTTGGTGAGCGTTTTATCATTTGATAATATAATTTGAAATGTAAATTTTGACAGTCGGGAACATTATGTATTAAATCGTTAAAATGTTCAAGAACTTTTTTCACTTATTCGTTGTAAATTCGGACCAGATGGATCAACTCTCACGA